GCTCGGCGCGCTCCGCGCCTACGGGAGCGCCGTCGAGGAGGGCGCCCTGCTCGCCCTCGAGTTCACCGGGCTCGAGGAGTACCTGGAGCTGCTGCGCGCGGCCGCGCGCGCCCTCGCGCCCTTCGGTAGCGGCGCCGGAGGGAGCGGGTGGCGGCGGGGAAGGGAGAGGGCTGTGGGGGGGGAATGGGGAGGAAGGAGAGGGTCCTAGTGTGTGTGTGGGGAGGGTCGTGATGAAGGGGGTTGAGGGAGGAGGAGGGTCTTGGTGGGGGTAGTTGGAGGAGGAGAGGGTTCTAGTGTAGGAGGAGGAGTGGAGAGGAAGAAGGTTTGGGGGGGGTTGAGGGGAGGAGTGAGGAGGATGAAGGAGGGGGATGGAGGGTTCCAGTGTGGTGRGGGCTGAAGGGAGAGGGTCCTGATGTGGGAGCTCTGAGGGGAAGGGGTCTTGGGAGGCTTTGGAGGGATGAGAGGAAGGGAGAGGGTCCTGGCTGGTTAATGGATCTGCGGAGGAGCGTGAGAGGATGGGGTCCTGGTGGGGCAGTGGCGGGGAAGGAGAGGGGCCTGATGTGGGGAGGGAGGGGGTGTCAGGTCGGGGGGGGTCCTGGCGCGGGTTGGCGCTGTCGCGAGCCACTGGTCATGTCCCCGCAGGCTCCAGCGTCATGTTCTACCTGGCGGCTGCTGTGTCCGACTTCTACATCCCCCCGTCAGAGATGCCTGAGCACAAGATCCAGTCCTCGGAGGGGCCCCTGCAGGTGAGAGATGCAGAAAAAGCCTGGAAAATTTATAGAAAAGGAGCCTGCTGGCCCAAAATGGTGCTGTTCCCGTGCACTGTTCTTACTGCAGCTCTTTCTTCCTCTTGTCTTCTTGCAACCATAGATCACGATGGAGATGGTGCCAAAGATGCTGTCTCCCCTAGTTAAGGACTGGGCTCCGGAGGCCTTCGTTATTTCCTTCAAGCTAGAAACGGATCCCTCRATCTTAATTGAAAAGTCTCGTCAGGCTTTGGAGAAGTATCGGCACCAGGTGGTAGTGGCAAATATCCTGGAGTCGCGAAGGACCTCGGTCATCATCGTAACCAAAGACACTGAAACGCCGCTGTCGCTTTCTGAAGAGGAAATAGCTCAAGGCATGGAAATAGAGGAAAAGATAGTGAATCACCTACAGGAACGGCACACGGCGTTTATAGAGAAGAAATTCTGAAGACCAGCTTGGAAAGAAAAGGGTGGAATGTTGCTTGGGAGGGCCTGGAACTGGAGCGATGGGCTCTTATCACAAGTAAATAGAATAATACTYGGTGACGCACTATGGGAAAGGCTGCCGTCCAAAACTGTATCACTTTTCCATAGCTTCATAATGGTAATTCTGGCTTGCTATCAAAAAAAAAAAAATACTGAAATGAAAGCATTCCAGAGGATGATATTTGCTCTAAATTGTAAAGAAAGAGAAATAATATATTGCTTTACTGCTGTYCTCTAAATGGGAGGACAAGGCCGTGCAGAAGTGCTATGTATGTATGTATATAAATGATTTTTCTTGAATCTGCCTTTTGCAAAGTCCGTTTTTGTAATCCTGCACAAGTGGGAAGGAGTTTTGCAGAAAAAGAGATGTTGTGTTTTAGTGGAGTGAGACCTACAGAGCTGCAATTAACCGAGAGAAATTGAGTGGGGACAGGAGGGAATGTGGCAAAAGAGGAAAGAATGGAGCGGAACAGTGAGCGACTTTGGAGAGCATCTTGCTCCAAGAAGCAACTTTGGCCAGGTGGATGTGGTGGAAATTGGAGCCACTTGGACCTGGATTCGAGGACTGTCCCATTCTCCCATGCACCAGCGCTGCAAGCCGCCGTGTGCTTGTCCCGCGGGAAGCGCTCAGCCTTCCTGTGCTTTGGAAGGAGCATTTGGGAAATCTCCCAACCTTTTTGCAAGGGAAAAGCGGAAGCAACGGGGAGGCAGCAGCACAGGGCCAGCACCGGCCGTGTCCCGGGGCCGCTCCCGGTATCCCGGGGGGCGTGGCTTTCCCGCGGCGGGGGCGTGGCTTTCCCGCGGCGGGGGCGTGGCGGTGCTCTGTGGGCGTGGTTTCGCCGCCAGGGCACGGCTTCTCCGGGGGTGCCGAGCCAATCAGCGAGGCGCCTCGCCGTTGCCATGACGCCGCGGGGGGCGGGGCCCGCGGCCCATGGAGGCAGCGGCGGCGGCCGCGCCGGTGGGTGCCGGTGCGGGGCGGGTTCGATCCGGATCGGGCCGGTCCCGGCTGGATCTTCCCGCCTCACGGCGTGTCTCTGTGCCCCCCTCAGGCGGCGGTTGAGGACGACGTGCGGCGCTGGCTGGAGGCGGAGGGCGCGGACCCCGCCGCCCCCGCGGAGCAGCAGCTGGGCCTGGCGTGGCGGCTCGTGCGGCGCAGCGAGGCCCGGCTCCGCGCTGCCGCCCGCCGCCTCGGCCAGCTCGAGCGGCGCCGCGCCGAGGAGATGCGCGAAGTAAGGGCCCCTCACCACCCGCCATCCCATCCCATCCATCCCATCCCAGGCAGCCTCCACTCTGCCCGGGGCGGCTTCGCACTGCCTCTCCCTGAGCACGTGTGTGCAGGAAAAAAAGGGAAGGACCGGAAAAAAGGGCAGATTGGGCTTCACCTCCTGAAATATACCTCCGGAAGGTGCAGTGAGGGAGAGTTCCCAAAATGCCTGAGTTTGCCCCATGAACGCAGGGTAGCGCGGGGTTGTGAGCGGCCCCCCTGCCGCCTGGTTTGCCGGCAGCTCTGCTGCAAACGCTCTTGGCCGTGTGTTTTCTCTCTTTCCAGGTGGAAAGCTACGTGGGTCACGTCCGCGACTTAACAGAGGAGCGAGATGCCCTCACCGCCGAGTATGAAATGGAAAACGAGCAACTCCGTTTGGMGCTGGCACAGCTGCAGCTTCAGCAGGGTAATCCTCTCCCTCTCCTCCAAAGCACAGGCCCAGCTGATGCGTTAACAAGTACTGGGGTTATTCTTTTTGCAAGGAGCCACGGGGCCTAAGAACACCAAAACAGCTTATTGCAAACAATTTCACCTTCTCCTGGCTAAACTTAGCTCTGGAGGCTAGTGAGGAGCTGTTGGGAAACTGATTGTCCTGGCCTTAGTGTGGTAGGGAATTTTATTCCTGCATTTTTGTGTTTTGYTTTCCCCACAAGGTGGCAGACGAATGACAAAAATGCAGTGAGAGGTGGGTTTGCATTTATTTGCATGGTGGCTCTGCGCACATCGGTATTTTAAGCTTTTTTTGATAGCTGTTGAGCAATGATTAGTGCTTAATTTGGAACATAGATCTATGAAATGGATGCTACATCAGCAGGTTCCTAATAGCAAACTAGCTGCTSCTGCGAGTATGTCACCGTGGGGCTGCTTCCAGCTGGGCTCTCCTGCCTGTACATGCCTGGAGAACCAGGAAGTGGAGCTGGCGGAGGGATTGGGGTTCCCTTTCTCCAGGAATGAAAGTTTGTCTTCTTCCTGGCACATGCACAACTTCCTCGGGAGAGTCGTAAGGCCATGTTTTCTTGGCTGGTGCCTGAAGCAGCTGCATGGTGGAGACATCAGAGATCTCTCTGGAGCAGAGATGTCCTGGATCCTGGAGCCACAGCAGTTTCTCCTGGCCTTTAAGATTCTATGCATGTGTCAGCATCAGCCTTTCCCTCAGAAGGCACTGTTGACMCTGAAGTGGATCTTCAAGGTCACCTTATGTGATTGCTCCAGAATGCCTGGATGTCCTTGGCCCTGGACAGGCTATGAGCCAGCTGGGTCATKTCATGGTCACTGAACATTGGTTCTTAGGTCTGCCATGTTTTTCTCTTCTTTCCCCTTTTTTATTTTTTCTCCTCCTTCCTTTGCTAAAAACCGTGGGCCATTTCTGGCACAGAGCTGCTGTGGTACAGTCAAAAGGCAGCCTGACCTGTGTGTGTCAGAGTGCAGGATCTGTCTTGATCTTGCTTGTAGAGAAGGGTAGTGGCAGCTGGGAATTGGTGGGGAAGCAAATAAAATTAAAAAAAAAAAAAAAAAAAAAAAAAAAGCTATAAAGACTAGGGTAAATACAAGAAAATCACATGGACCAGGACTTGGTGCTGAGTGGACTCACTATTCTGAAGTTACTCAAATGGATCGAGTTCAGCTTTGGCTAGTATCGTAATGAGCAGTATGACCTACTGTTTTTGATGATAAAAAGCCAAGTTTAAACCTGTACTGGTGTGGAAGAGGCCCAGAGAGTTGCTGCAGATCAACTGAAGAATGGTAACCCACTTTGCTGCAGCAAAACGGTTGTCTCCATTCACGTGAATGAATGCTAGGTTTTGGTTTATAGCAGGAAATGAAAGGATTTTGCACCAGGAAGGCTCTGGTGTAGCTTGTGCTGTCTGCAGAGACCATCCACTGCTGGTTTTACGTAGAGCTATTGATTGTAGCTCTGCCTCATTTGGTACCTCTGTCCACAGTGACATTTTTCCTTTCCTCGAGGCAGTTCATAATCCATTTCCAATGGTTCTCATCCAGTAGCCTCAGTGTTTTTTGAGGGCAGATCAATAACTTGCACACTGCATTACCAGGAGCTTTTTATAAAGCCAAATGTAGCAGTAGTAAAATACAGTCCTGTTAAGGGCTTGCCTCAGTATGTTKAAAAAGACAGTTTAAAGACATCCTAGCCCAAGCTAGTGCTGTACTGCTGCTCTGTGAAGCAGTGCAACGTCCCATCGTGGTACCTGGGAAATCCTTATTCCCTTATGGAAGGGAGGGGACCTTCCTGGCCTTTGCAGATACGATATCTGTGGCATAGCTGGTGCTTGCTAACAGGGATCTTGTTCATACAGTTTTGTTGCTTTTCTCAAGTAGGTCATGTTGGATGTGATAGGGAAGGTGTTCCTGAGATGCTCATTTAAAAAACATTTTTTTTTTTCCACAAGTGGGTAACCTGTGCYGTGTACTGCAAACTCCCCTTATCCCCTCAAACTTTTCTCCCTCTTTAGCCTGGCAAAAATGTCTACATCCTGTTACCTGTGCCTTTTCTTAAGGCATAAGGAACATGTGTCTGGCTATTCTTAAACTGCAAAATAAAACACTCCTTTTCATGCAGAAACGCTGCAAGTTGGCCATGTTTGACCTCTCCATTGAATGAACTGCAATTTATAATCAAAGGTGAAGGCAAGCAGGAAACCGCAGGGTGTTTTCCATCCCTGGGGCTGGACAGAGCTGACTGCAGAATGCAGAGTGGAAACATGCGATTGATTTGAGCCTTAGGCTTAGGATTGCACTAGGTCCTCCATTAAATCTGGGGTAGGGAAGTGTGGAGCAAACATACGTATCCTCTGTAAGAGCATGAGGACTCTTTGCTTAACTTCAGCTACTTAACTTTAGCTTTCTAAGTGGTAAAAGAGTATGACTGTCACTTGTTCCTCCATATATATTGCACTAGAACACTAGTTTGTGTTCTCCCAACATTTAAGTTTTGAGCCATGCAAACAGGAGGCTTTTTTAAATAACAGATTTGTTACAAGTGATCCTAAGCACTGCACAAAATAGAATTCCAAACAAACAGGAAATATTAGGAATTGTTTTTTTTTTTTCCTTGCCTTTGAGAAAAACATAACCTGGCAGAGTATAAACACAGTCGTAGGCTCCTTTTTAAGTGTGACAGCAGAGCCAGCTGTGGCCATAAACACAACAGTGCCCAGCTGTAAGCAAATACCAGCTTCTCTTGCAAATGCCATTGTGGTTTATTTGCTTTGGAAGCCATTCAGTCTTCAAGTTTTGTGTGGTGAAGAATTGGCAGTAGTGGGGAGTGTTAAAAGAGGATCAGGGATGCAGATCTGCACGCAAATGGGCTTCATTTGTTTATTTACTCATAGAAAACTTTGTCTTGCAGAAGCCCAGCTGAAGGAGGTCGAGGAGATGCTGGAGCAGGAAGGCTTGTCTGGCATAGCTCACAGTAATGCCAGTGAACAGATTGCTTATTTACTGGTAGAGAGAGCYGCGCTGCTGGAGAAACTGGAGATTGCAGATCAGAAGCTGAATACCCAGAACTGTGTGGATGGCCTGTGTGCAATGCAGCTTCAGGTACCCTGTCTTTAGCTGCTGAGGCTGCCTGTGTAGGTGCAGCAGGGAGAGGGATGTTTCTGACAACTTATAAATTAAATATATTTCTCCTATCTTTGAGTGTTGCACATTTCTAATGCTAAATCAATTCCTGTATTATTTATACACTTGCRTATTTACACTTACTTTGCTTCCATGTCTTGCAGTGGGATCATTAATGGGATTGTTTTTAATGGAGAGAACTTTGAAGAATCTGTAATATAACCTAGTTCTGAAGATCTTCACTGGGTAGTAGTCACTTTTTATTAATCCAGCTGTTCCTAGCAGTCCACTATTTAATACTGGACCAGTGAGTTCTCTTCAAAATCATAAACTTAAGAAAAATTCTCCTTAGTCCTTAAGCTGGGATTAAAACTCTTGCTGTTCAGCTGCTGAATTAGAGAACTCAAGTTTTAAACCTCCCTCTGATCAGAACCTGAGCTCAGTGAATACTTTTCACAGCGTGACTTCAATTAGCTGGCAGGTTATGGAAGATCATCCATGCTGAGACTTTTTCCAGTCCAAAGTTGAGATGAAGAAAACTAACAAGTGATAGAGGAGCAGTCGCTGCTGCGCATCGGAGCGGCGATCTGTGACCAGCCTCCTCAGTTAGGGYGACCTTCCTTCCAGCAAACCAGCCACACGGCACTGTCTGACCAGAAGCTAAGGGCAGAGTTTGAGAGAACAGCGTGGGAAGGTGAGGGGGACAAATATTTAGTGACAGCTCAGTGGAGTTACTCCACTTGCTTAAATTGGTGTGCACTGTCCAAAAGAGAGGGCTTTTCAGCAGATGTTGAAGATGGATTTTTTTTTTCAAGCAGTTTCCTTAATACATGACTGTCTTTCTCCTAGTGAGGTCATTTATGTCCATGTTGGTAATATATGGCCCCTGATGATGAAGCACTCAATTCTTTTGGTTAGTACACTTGTTTTACAGAATCATTAGAGTCACAGCACTGTTAAAGGTCAAAAGTTTAATTGCTCTTGTTACTCTGTTAAGTGGAACGTGTAATTTTTTTTTTTTTATATTCAGATGAATTATATGGTTGTTTCATTTTTATACTTAGCGTTCAAATACTTTCCTGGTAAAGAAAAGAATGTAGCTTTTAGCTAGACTGCTCAAACATAATTGATTTTTGATGTATCCTCACTAATGCAGAAAGCCGGGATACAAAGATGCATCTTAGTGTAGCTGCSTCTGGTATTTATATGAAAAAAAGAGTATAGTTTAATGTCTGGAAGAGCAGCCGGGCATGTACAAGCACATTTTACCTCTCTGCAAAATGTTGCAAAATCGTAATGACTCCCAACATCCTGAGCATTAGCAAATCCACAGTGCTGGTATAATAGGTAGCTGAGGGAATTTCATGGAGGTTTGGGATCTCTTTGGCAGAAACTCACTCTTTAAATATAATGCATGGTAACAGCTTCTTGCTAATCAATATGTTTTAAAACAGAAAATACTCCGCCTGGGTGTCCAGCGATATGTGACAACGTGTTTTTTGATAGTACTAATTTGTTAAAATCTATTTCCATGCAAGGATAAGTTTCACCACATTCATCAAACCTTAGAAGATGAACTCAAACAGCAGTGTGAATCCATGCGGTGCGGTAAAGAGATAGTAAGTAATGTAATATATTTTTACATTTTTCTAGCTTGTGATATGACACATTGCTGTGRTTTTATACTGTGAGTGTGTCCTTGAGCATGCTGTGAGGTTTTCTTGTTTGTTTTCAGCTAGTTGGGTGCGGGTCAGCTCTGAAGTGCAGGCTTTGCAACCAAGTCAACCTGGTGCTACATGAGTGAATCGCAGGAGAGCCAGGGTTAGCATCTTACTAACTTTGGGTCAGGACTGGCTTGTAGGCACTCCTCTGCCTTTAATTATAGCCACAAGGAGGTAGAGTGGGTTGAAGTCATGGAGGTGAGAAATAGCTTTTGTTATGTAAGCTGAAATGACTTTTCTGCAGAACCTCAGGTCAGCAGGTGAAGACTCTGATTCCAGCACTTCAGGAGCAAGTGCAGACTGGAAGAGGAGGAGGTTGGCATTGCCAGGCAGGCTCGGAGCTACCTCTTGCAGCAACTGTGAGACCGCAGATACAGRCTTACCTTTAGAGTAAACTGTCACAGGGTGTGGTGAAGCCTTCAGCTTGGGAAACCACATGTATTTTTTTTCTGTCTGAACCAAGTCCTGGCTGTAATTATCCCTTCTGGCCTTCAAATCTATTTGGAAACACACCTTAATTAACAGCATTGTCTCAGGGAGGGGAAAACAGAGGAACAATTGCGGCTGTTCCACACCTGGCAGGAGTGCGCTCCGGCATGTGTCCGTGGTGGGAATGGGCTGATCTGCTTGTCTGCCCGTGCTTGTGCTTCCTGTGTCATGTTTCTCCAGTCTCCTTCCAGTGTGTCAGGAGTGGTGCGGAGGCCTGGCTGCATCCATGTTGGCTCGTTTCCATTGGAGCATCAAGCACTTTTGTGTCAGTCTTGCAGGGCCGAGCTGGAAAGGGAGCAAGCGCTGCGCACGAGAGCTGAGCAAGAGCTTGATGAGGCCACACAGAGACTGCACGAGGCCCACGAGAAGATCCAGAGGCTGACAGGCGAGCTGGATGCGCAGAGAAAGGAGCAGAGCAATAAAGGTAAGAGCTTTGCTTGTTGCTGCACACTGCTCCAAGTTATTAGCCTCTTTTTTCAGGCTTTCAGACAAGCTTTTTGCCTGCACATACGTGAGAATTGCAGGTGTCCTGCACCTCACAATCCATCTTGGGTGAGAATACGCACCCTTTCTCAAGGCACTTTTTCTAAACAGACCTTACTGATGAAAAAATTGCTATTGTGGTGATAAGTCACACAAAAGTTCCCATTAAAGTCATCCATAAAGCAAAATGCTTCACTCTTGGTTCCTGTAGAAGATTCCCCCCAGCAAACCGCTGTGCTTTGTATCAAATTGTCCTCAAATCTGTGATGCAGAATTTCAGTGGAAAACAGCAGGATGTGCTGAGGTAATGTGCTCCTGCCCATGCTCCTTTGCAGCAAACAACTTACAGAGTCTGGCACGCATCTGGTCATGCTTTATTGTCAGACAGGAGCATCATTCACGGTGACGATCCTGCATCTTATGCAGAACCCTCGGACTAGTCACTAAACTTTCTAGGCAGCCTCCAACACCATCRTTTACAGCTTTTTAATCAGAGGCTGGGAAATAACTGCCGTGCCCGGATCAGCTTTGTGTATTGATCGGTCCGCACGCATTCGTGGGCATGGAGCGAGCGTTTGTGTCTCAGTCTCCAAGCAGCACCACTTCTCCACACCATGGATGGGCTTCTCTGAGTGCATCCCAGCCTGCTTGGGGAGCCGGGTGGACACCACTAAGTTCATTTTTGTTTCGTTGTTTTTTTAAAAAATCTTCATATATTGAATTATGAGGCTTTCCAAACTGTGAGTATGGGATTTAAGGCTTGATTTGTCTTTGTGTTTTATTCTGCTGGGRGTACCGATGTGCACGATTAGTGTTATAATGTTAGTGACTTCTCCCGATGAGGTGGAGCTGCATGCCTTCTTTTTATGAAATTCAGAGCCAACTGCGGTGTAAATTGATAGGTTTTCTTACAGAGAGCTAAATGCAATCTCTGAYCTTTAATAAACTCCACTTAATCAGTGTATGTTGGTTCTATGCTGCCTTGTGGCTCCTTGCTTGCACCGAAGAGAAAATACAATACTCCTCCTGAGCCCAATTCTTGAGTCTTTGCTGATGACGATTAGACATTTTTAAATCCTGTACAATGGGCTAATTGTCTGGTCGTTACTTTTTCTTTCAACTCAATAAGTAGCAAAGAAGTACATAAAAATGATGCCAAGTTTTGTGTAGAGAAACACGCAAATGGACTGTYGCACACAACTGTCTCTGTTCTTCTATGTTCTGCCTGTGGTCAGCCCTGCAAATGCCTGAGAGCTGGGAAGAAAGAGGGAACAAGCAGAGAGAGAGTGCTAAGTCATGCATCTGTTATGGCACTCAGTGATGTTATGTACTGGCAAAGCGCATCCATAATTTTATCAGGACTTTCTGTAGTGGTGAATGGGTTCTTGACCTGAATGAAGTCCCGACTTTCATTTTAAGTCACAAAGYTGAAAATCCAGTATTAAAATCCCTTTTGAAAAGTATTGCTTTTTTGTGCTAGCTTGGGGCAAAGGAAGTCGGTGCGTTTTGTTTTCCCCTGACAAAAAGTCAAATTTATRTTGAAAAGGAAAAAAAAATCCCAAACTGTTTGAATCTAAAGCGTGTTTTGCTTGCTCACATCACCTCTGTCCACATTGCTGGTTCTGTTTGGAGGTTTATTGGAGTTTTGGAGGAGAACACAGCAAATGTTTACGCAGTGGATGTTAGGGAATTCGCACTGCAGTGCGAGCTTGAACACTGAACTAACATGACAAGTACCCGGGGACCAGTTTGTCACAGCAGAACTTAAAACATGTTTGTACTTCAGTTAAAAAAACGTCACAAACCAACGCTGTTTCAGATTGCCTGCTTTGCAGTGGTTTTAGAGGGATGTTGGATACTTGGTGAAATTTCTGCAAGGAGAAATTTTGAGGAATCGTTATTTAGATGTTTTAAACTTATTCCAGTTGTTTGTGAAACCTGTATCTAAATGTCTGAGGTGAGGTGTTTTCTTTGGGAGGTTAGCAATCTCAGAAACTATTTATGTGATGGCCTCCCTTGAGCTTGGCRGAGGCTAATGGACAAACCGGTGCTAGAGCAACCAGTCAGATGTCCATGTGTCCTCTGTCCAGATAGCACCGAGCTGCAGAAGGCCATGGAGCAAAACAGCAGTTTGGACAAGGAAATTGTGGCCCTGCGAGCCCGAGTTCAAACACTCGACTTGGAAAGGAAAGCTTTCCTTGATCTGGTGAGTACACACCGGCTCGGGACTTGCTCTGCTGGGATGCACTGGCATCAGTGGGGCTTCTGCTTAGGTGATAGTTCTGGGGTGGTTGCTGACATTCAACYCTGTTCTTCAACCTCCCATGCCTCTATATTTCCTCTTGCTTCTGCTGCTTGTGCTCCAGTTGAGCTCTATTTTACAATTCTTGATTTATGCCCGTATTTTCACGTGTGTCAGCCTTTTTTTTCTTTTCCTTCATATGGCTGTTTTGATTTGCTCAGTGATAGAACAGAAACTTCTTCATTTTGTGGAGGAGCACGAGGAGCTGACGGGTCAGTTGGCCATGATTAGGTGGTCTCTGGGAGAATCCAAACTTGTTCTTGCCTTATGTCCTGCCAGTTTGAGTAATGAGTCTCAGTGTGCAGGATTTTGTGTCCTTGAGCTGTAAAGGCCCATTGAATGTATATGAAGGGGCTCGGTAGGTGCCCTTAGGTGTGGAGGGAAATAAAGTTACTGGAAAGCAAGAGGCTGAAGAGAGGAAAAGTGGTCTTTTCCCAAGGATTGGTAGTTCTAGAGACCAGCAGTGCTGTTGAATCTGCAAAATGTGCTAAACTTGGGACACATGCCATGGGCACAGATTAGGATCAATCACAGCTTGTAAAGCTCAGAGCACATCTGAGAAAGCAGTTGCTGCTGTTTGCACGTGAAGACTGCAGGGTTATAGCTACATCTCATGAAGTAAAGCACTTTGAGGGACTCGGTGGTCAGCTCTCCAGAAGCTGCTGATGCTCCAGTGTGATGCTGAGTGAATGGCTGGGCTGGTCTCCTAGCTATTGCTCCAGCTGCATAACTGTGAGCGAGTGTCCAACTGAATAAGTGACTGAGTGGTGTGAATAAGTTATCTGCTATTAAGAATAACATATTGAGCCATTAGTTTAAGAATAGGATTTAAAGGTGGTCTGAGAAATAGTGGTTGTCGTCTGACTTCCCCTCTGTGCTTGATCCTATTCGGGAAGAGAAATGTAACATGTAAATGATTGGGAACAGAAATAAGGAAAAATAGCCTACCCTTTGCAGTATTCATACACCCTCTTATTGCTTTGTACTTCGTGAAAGAGTCTGAGGCAACACACCTGTAGCAGCCATGTGCTCTCCTCAGCTTGAGTAGTTTGTAAATATCTGCAGTTTGTGTGGCAAATTTGATGAGAATCTTAATTCTGTAAGACAGAAAATGCAACGTACTGCCGAAAATACGTGGAACTGTTTTTATTTCAAAGGTTGAACAGCTCAAAGAGGAGATCGGCGATTATCAAAAGAGTGAGAAACGAGGACTTCCATTCCCTGCACCAAATGAGGCTGAAGAAGTTGCAGTGTGCTCACTGCAGGTATTTTCAAGGGCCTTTTGTTGGCCAATTTGGAAAACTAATTGAGCATGGAGTCCCCATTCTGCATTTCAGAGGCAACAACTTACAGTGCAGAAATGCTAGTATTTTTCTTTTAGCCTCTGTGCAAGTGCACCCCGTGCAGCTGGATGTAGGACTTGAAGATTACACTAATATTCAGCACATGTTAAAGCCCTCATCATTCTCATGGGGCTTGGAAGGCTTTGCTGCTACGGGCAGTGGATTATCTAATGCAGATGGGTGTTGCTTGATGCAGCTCATGTTTTTAGTTGTCCCATGAATTTGAGCTTTGGAATGACCTTGTTCAAAGATTTCCATCTTAACTATGTGCTAAATTTTTATTTTTTTTCTTTAGATACAGGGCACAAAGGATGAAGGGAGGGTTGAAGGAGGCTGTGTTCCAGGCCATGCTGGTTTGGACCAAGATGACAGATACCAGGATAGCGAAATGCTTCATAAAAGGTGACTGCCATGAAAATCCTTCTTCATCTGTTGTCTTTTTGTAGTGGTTTGTCTGCCTCTCTGGGCACTGATATTCTGGTTTGCAGAGTGCATTTAAGTGTTGGATTGTTAATATTCTGCTACCACCCTTGTTCCTTTGCTCCCCAGTCAGAAAAGTTGGAGGTGATAAAGTGCCAAGTGGATGCTTAGCCCTTTGCAGACTTTCCTGCAGCATTTTTTTCTGGCACTTTCTCCRTTTTTCTTTTTTTCTTTTGTCTAAAAGAGGAGATGTTGGGTTTTCCTGGCAGATGAAAGCATTATTTTCCAACTTTTCTTACCACTGTGAGAGGCTCGGTAATGTGATGTTGATCTTTGCATAGGTGCCGAGAGGTGATTGAAAACATTGAGGGCAGGAATTCGCAGCTCCTTCACAAGCTGCAAAAACTGAAGCAGGAGCATGAGGGTTTGGTTGAACGCAATGAAGAATTGGAATCTATTCTAGGAGATACACAGATCCAAACCAAGCAGGAGAWGGAGCACTTTGAGAGTGAGGTAGAAGGACTTCACCAGAAAGTAAGTAAGAGATGGAAGAAACACTCTTTGGTTTTGTTTAATTACAGCTTTTTTTTTTCTGTCTGTGTGTTGACTGTTAAAATAAAATGACATTTGGCCTAAAGCTGCACCCTGCTTTGTTTAGTTTGATGAGAAATAGAAGTARCAAAATCTGCCGGTTTCAGAAAAGAAGGGGAAAAGGAGGAAAAAGTTCACAATCTGTAGATGGCATTTGCTTGGGAGCACAGATCCCTGCATGATTGTGGCAGCATTCTTTGCCAACCCTTGTGTTCACCCTTGGGTGTTTGGGCACTGTTAACTAGTTTACTCCTGCCTCTACAAGAGTGAGATCAGGCARTATTCTGTGTGCGTGGGCCACATGCCCTTCAGTCTCTTGGCTGAGCTAGAGCCAAGCTCAGTGATTCCTATGTTGAATTGCACCATTTTTTTTCTCTGGAGCTATTTCTTCTGAACTTCTTCAGCTTGCCAGGCACAGAAGTCCTTCCTTCCCCTCAGAGGCTCTCCTGGATAACACCAGTGCTCCTCACAGACCTCGCCATCAGCAAGTGCTTTACCACCTTGGGCAGTGGTTTCTGCTACCTGCGCTGTCTATTGAAGAGCAAGTTCCAGTCCTGAATCTACTCAGGGCTCAGAGCAGGAGCACAGTTGCCTGCAAGATTTTTTTTCCCGAAGCCTGTGAATTYTGCCTTGTTTCTGGTAGTCCTGGTAGAAGGCCAGGCCTTGATTTTAATCCCTAGCCCCTCTCCAGGTGATTCCTTCAGTTCAAAAAGCTCTCTGTAGGACCAAAATGCCGCTTGATCTCATCAGTTCAAGTGCCCTGGTGACAGAAGATGGCACTTTCCATTTCCCTTCAATGCAGCGTTTCAGGGACCTGCCAGCACCTTGTGACAAACAGCAAGGCAGTTCTGGGTGCACAGATTCTTCACTGCCTGTGGACAGCCCTGCCTGAAGACGCCAAATTTGAGGGGACAGGGAATATTTTTCCCTCCCCACTTCTTATCTCCAGTTGCAGCAGCTAGTGTTGAATGGGATGGGCATGGCTGGATACAGCATTCTGGGGAACTACGATATGCTCATTTATCAGGAGAAGCTCTGCTCAGTCTTTGTTAAGAAGTGATTTTACTAGAGTTTTTCTAACAAAACTTTTTCAAAATCTGTCTTGGATGCTCACAACCCAGGGCAAACTGGATCTTTTCCTGCTGATAGGATAGGCCGTTGAGGAGATGTTTTGGATTTCAGAGATTGATGATTATTTGAAGTGAGCCAAGATGAAGTCTTGGTCATTTCCACAGCTTCCCTCATTCGCGTGTGACCATCAGAGAACCTGTGGGAAACTGCTAAGGAGAACCAGTGTTGCTTATAGCTCCGGAAAAGTTAGAGGCTTCCTTGCAAGACTTGCAGATCCATCTCCTCTCACACTTTCAGCAAGGATTGGGCTTCTGTTGAAGCTTCTGAGCCTAATGTTGCCTGTGTCAGAGTGGTCTTTAGTCTTGATTTAGGGACTCTCCATCCCTCTTGAAGTAGCTTTGTGAGAAGCATCTTGCAGTCTAAGAACCTGTCAAGGAATGTAGATACAGTCAGATGCCTGACAGGCTCTGACCGCAGTGGAAATGTTATAAAGTCTGTCCACTGTGACTATGCTTTTATTTAAAGCAAAGTTTTGTTCAGACCCACGTTAAAATATTGTCCCCCTTCTCACTGAAATAGAGAGGGGAAAATCATTCCTCTGCAAATGAAGCAAAATGTGTTTTCAGTTTGGAAAAGTCCTCGGCTGTTGTCAAGCAGAGCCCTGGGAATGCTGCTGCGAGGCGCACCAAGTAGCCAAGGAGACACGAGGCGTTTTTGGCCGGCATGAGCTTGGCAGCCACGGAAGCTGCACTGTGCTTGGCACAGAAAAGCGGCACACAGGACGGCAGAGGAGAGGCAGCTCCCAGGGAGGAGGAGGAGGCGGATTAAAGCTCACCAGGATCTGCTTGGACAGAGGGCTGCAGAGCTGCACCTTGTCCAGCTGTATTTTGGGAGTCTTGGATATGGCAAGGGAAGAGCCACATGAAGGCAGATGTGTTGGAGCCCTGGGGAAATGGCTCTCCTGGGTGCTTGCCAGGCGGTCCCATGCGAGGAAGGCTTGGAAGGCCGTTCCGTTCTGACCTGCCTACGCAAATCCCGACCCATTAGGCCAGTGACACAGAACGAGAACACCATGGTACAATGCTAGTGTTGTTCTCTTGTTGTGGGAGATGTGCCTGCCCTCTTTAAATGCTGAAAAGTTAGTGGCTCAGAGGATAAAAGAGCAAAATGATGGAATGATGTAGCTGGACATCAGTTTGCTGATGAAATTTTTTTTGTTGTTTTTAATAGGGATGGAGGTTATTTTGCTTTTGAGATTCCTTCCAACAGCTTCAAAGTGTTTTTGAACCTCCAAACTCTCATTGGATTTGCTGTCTAGCCCTTCTGGATGAGGCCTGGGTGCTTCACCCCACCAGAGCAATCTTGCCCTTGCACAAGAGGCTCAAAGTAGCAAGCTTGTGATTCTTTGGGAAAAACGCAGGATTTGCAGAAAACTTCACATCAGCCTCTCTATGTGTTAGAGATCATTCTATGCTGGGAGCTTCAACAGAATCATCTTGTGGCTGAAGCCTGTCAGTGAAATCAAAGCTCCCCCTTGGGGCTCTGCCTTCTCTGTARTAATCACTTAACATGGTCTGGGCTTTGCAGAAATTTAGCAGTTCTTTGGTTTTGCACTCCTGTCAGAAAGGAATGAAAAATGACCTCTGAATATCTCCGCAGTCTTGTAAACTCCTCAGGTAGAGGGGCAACATCGGAGTCCAGCAAAGCACTGAATTCTGCTTTTATCTTTGCACACAAGGAGTCCGCAGCGCCCTCAGCCAAGCGACTCGTGCCTGCCAAGTGACGCACGGAGCAGGCCAGCGCGTTCCTGGATTGAATCCAGAGCTTTGCAGGAGGGAGCTGCAGCCTCCCCGGGCATTGGAGGGACTTGGGCCGAGCCTCTGGACGGCTTCCAACGTGTGCGGGGAGCCGCGGTGCCACTGCCTGGCATTGTGAGAGTGYGGGAAAGGCGAATGGATGCGCTATAAATGCGGGAGGCCTCTGCACAGCCACGGCGGAGGGGCTGCTGGGGTCCTCAGCTGCGCCCCTTGGGAGAGCAGCATGTAGAAGGCCCCTGAGTTATTGTAAGGTGCTTTCCATCAGCTCCAAAGTCTTTTTGAGTCCCCAGACTATTATTTAGTCATGCAGGAGGTCTCTGAATTTTAGCTACGTCTCACAATTGGCTTTCCAAGTCCTTCCAGAGCTCCTTTTTTGGACCTGAGATCCTTCGTTTTCTGACTTGACCTTAAACTTGTTCGCAGGATCAAAGATCTGAGCCGCTGCTTGCGCTGGCGGCTGTCCACATCCCTCCTCCCCCTCACYCCCAAACGTGGGGCTGGTTCTGTAAGAGCTGCTCAAAGAGCAAGTTTAGGAGTAGCCATGCGTTTTGGTTTGTTTTTACTTGTGGTTTGTGTGTGTTAAGATCACAAGTTTAGAGATGGAATTACTTGAAGTGCAGAAGAACAGAACTGGGACGAGTGGCGAAGAGCAAGYGTTGACTGATGGAGCACAAGAAATGCGAGAGGTAAGAGGATTTCCTTGGGCAATAAATAATTTGTTTAGAAAGGAATGGGAAAGAAAAGATCACTCTTCCCTTTCTTCTGAGAGTTCGTAGTCTGTCAGCTCAAGGCAGGTGGACGTCCGTCTCTGGAGGAAAGCAGCTAACGTGCAAGTATGATCTCTGTGATAACTCTGTAAATGCTCTTACAAACTTGTCTTGCTTTCAGCAGTGCAAGCCAAGGAACATATTGACTCTCCTGCGAGGGTGAAGGGTTTACATGTGTAGAGGATTAAATTTACCCCTCGTGGAAGGAATCTAAAGACCTGGAGTTCTGCTGAGCTCTTGTTTAGAGTTTAGTGAAGTGTAGCGTGTAGGTATGTTTGTCATAAGACTGATTCCCAGCTGTTTGGGGGTAGGTTTTGCTGTCTGTGTTACTTGACAGCCAGACAGCTGCGTCTGTCAGGTTTCTTTTGAGGGAGAAGGCAGAACTCAAGGCTGGTGAGAAAGGGCTTGAACTTGTCCCTGGACCTTGAGTCAGGTGAGGGCTTCAGGCCTTCAAAGGTGCCCAACCAGCCTTGAGTTTAAGATGCATGAATCATATTGGCAACTTTGAGCAATATTCTTCCAGCCTATTTGTTCCTATTTTATAAGCGTAACTGATACCATAGAAAAAAATCTTTTAATCCCGCTTGTTCCAGATGCTGGAAAGCTGTCAGGAAAAGATAGAGAAGTTGGGAAATCAGCTCGGAGAGCGGAGAGAGCGGAGAAAACAACTTGCATCTGAACTTGAACTGTTACGAGAAGACCTGAAGGCTGAAAAGAAGGTACMATGCAGTCCTGTGTGTACCAGAGATGGAATGATGCTGTTCTTCGGAGAGAAACATCCTGTGTTTCCTAGATTGGGAAGTGAGGAATTTTTCTTATGGCACTGCTCTTCCAGGAGGTCTTGTGTATAGGAATCCTGCAAAGGAATTCTCTCCAGGAGACAGTTGCTTATGTGGCCTGCACCTCAAAYGTTCTCAGTTGCCCACTTATGGTGTTGCTTGCTTTTTTGCTCTCACCTAAGGCTGAGAAGTTGGCGTGAATGGCTTGTTGAGGGTCTTGGTGCTGCTTTTCATTGCATGCCCTTCAGTCCACTTTGCTTGAACTGTTTTACTGCTGGATAAAGTTTGGGCAAGTTTATCTGTGCTAGGAGACTTGCTGCTGCTACASTCTTCTAGACAAGGAAAATTGCATGAGGACTAGCACAAGCATAGGAGAAAATGCCTGCCTGGGCTGAAAACTGCCTGGATCAGATGGTTTAGAGGAACATGAAACTGATGAGTGAAAAGAGGATAGAATCTATTTAAAAAAAAAGAAAAAATCCACTGTGATGGGGCTTAAACTAACTTTGAGTCGCATCATTTATGGGAATATAAGCAAAAGTCATGCTGTTYGGGCACAACTGCGCATGTGCCAAGGGCTTGGTGGAGGAACAGTGTCCTCTAGAGGACGACTTTCTAATGCTGTTAGACAACAAACCTTGCCAAAGTTCACATTGCGCCCTGGCTTTGCCAAAGAGCAAGTTAAAACCCACATACAAAAATAAATAATCTTTTTTGGGGAGGATGAGAAGAGCAGAAGGAATCTAACTTTTGCGTCCCTGTAGTTCAGTCAACTTTTAATCAAAATCATCTTACATCTCTATAAATTTGGTTGTAATTCRGACCTCAGCAATTGGCTGGTGGTTTTGCTTAAGCTACAGAGAAGCCTGTTTTTCTGTTGAAGGGTTCACAGAATGAAATCTAGCAGCCTGTGTTAGACTGGCCAGCTGAAATGATCTTTAAAATAGAGAGCTTTGCTGCTTTTTGTAAGATTCCTGAGTCAAATTCCTTCCCTCTTCCTAGAGCAGCTGTATTGTAGCAAATCATTTACCAACAAAGTGTTGACATTTTGCTTGGTGTAAAATCATCCGGTGGTCACGACACCTGGAGGTCAAAAAATTGAGGTTGTTCATTGTTGTGTTTGTCAGGATGCCCAAAACTTAGAATGGGCTGCKAAGTGTGGCAGTATTATTTCTTGTGCATTGTAATAATGGCTATGTAGGTGATGTGTTGTGCCATGAATATTCAAGGAGCTCTTTGCAATTGCTGGAACTTTATTCTTGCTTCTAAGACATTTCCAGACATTTAAGTGGGGAAAGCTCTTCTAAACTTTTAGTTAGAAGTACGTTACATCCACTAACTCCTCTTGTTTCCCCACTAGGAATTGCCTGACTCAAAATCAGAGCTTGCAAGCCAGTCTAATGACTTCCAGAGTCTCCAAAGAACATCAGCAAACAGGGATGTCGTTAAAATATCCCATGAGAAGCTGCAAAAAGATAGTGCTTTGTTAGATACAGAGGTGAGAAATGCACAGAAATCACCATCATTCCAGAGCCTGATGCAGACAGCAGCTACTTGTACGTGTTGCTCAAAAATGGAAACGCAWCCTGGTGTGGCTAAAAATCGGAATTAAATCTCTAGTGATGTAATACGCTAGSACGAGCTATGGATTAAAAGCCAGGTGCTTTAGGAATGAGAGCAATGCTACAATCAAAATCATGAGTAGGGTTCAGTAGATTTAACAGCACCTTCCATTGAAGGATTTGGTTTCACTACTATATAGCTTGAGGATGTTAGACTAGGTACATTCTGCCTTCTGATCCAGTCTGGGAATTCCTGTAGCCTCTTCCTCCCCTCCCCTATTTTTTCCCCTTTCTTTATGGTCTTCTCATCTGAGGTTCTGGATTTGTGCTTTCTGGGTGTTAGAGCATTAAGGTGAAGTTGAAACGGGAGAACAGCTGTCCCTAGAAAGTGTGCTTGGGTGCATTTCATTGAGAGCCCTTGCCTCAATTGAGATATTTTARCTCTATGTCAGAAAGACTTAACAGACCGGCGTGTTGACTTGGGCAGAGGATACTTTGTGTGACACCGCTGAGTACATACCACAACCCCCTGCTGATTTTCYGAGAGCTGTTAGTTTTATAAAGAGGTAGGGTACATGATATGAAGTGCTAGGAACTAGAGATAGGCAACAGAAAAATAAAATCCTATAAAGAAATGTGATTTGATCATTGTTTATATGCAGCTATTTCCAGTGCAAGACTTGCATGTAAATATCAAGGTGAAGATCCATGATGGTTTAGCTACAGAATCACAAGCCTTTTCTTGTTGGAGCTAGCAGATTGCATTATACTGCTCAAAAGTTTTCCATGGGACCAAAGAAAATCAAAGTCATGGTGTTTTCTGACCTTACAGGTCCCTGAACCCCTACAGGAACATGAACAGATTAGCAAACTCGARCAGAAACCTGAAGATTTAACTGCTGATGAAAAGGCTTGTGAAGAGCTGATGGCTAAAGTAGTRTTTTTGGAAGAACGGATCCAAAACTTGAGGGCTGAACAAGAACTGCTCTGGTAAACCTTAACAAGGCCTTTGGTGTTTTCTGCACCTTAACTTTGCTAATTGTCCTGCCTTTTAAAATTCCTCACAGTGCTGCTTCTGGCAAAAACAGGCACGGCTGCTTTGTGTGCAATTCTGTAGCATCAATTAATCAGGGCTGCATTGAATTTTTGGCAAATAACCATTTCCCTTAGTCAAATAATGAGCAGTCAGAAATAAACCCCTTTTCTTTAGCTACTCCAGATTCTCAGCTGCATAAACGCATCATCATTTGGGAACATGTTTTTTTCTCTTGGGGTGACATTGTATTTGTAATAATATTGTCCCAAAACTGCTCCTGTTGTGGGCTAGGGCTCCTTGGTAATGAAGAACAGCTGTCTGCTACCAGCAGCTGATCGTATACATCCTGGTATGGATTTCAGTTGTCCTTTAAGGACAGATATCAGCAGACATGGGATTATAAATCCCCCCTTTCCTCCTTGTCAAAGATGATTGGAAATTTGAAGTTAGGGCATTTGTGCTTACACTTTCGTTAATAAGTAAAACCATGGATTTAACCTCATGTAGTACCAATCAGCTCTCAATTACCSGGGTAACTAGGCAATGGAATAAAGCAACCCCCTGCTAAAATARGTAGATGGGGTTATAAGGGCTGGCACTGACCTGAGCCTGTCCTTCCATACAGCAAGGCATGGCGTATGTGCTACTTGGGAGCAGAACCTGGCTCATGTGGCCCCCACGTTCTTTTGTGGATCACTGTCCAGGGAGAACTGACCCTTGCCCGGTACAGCTAGACTCAGGATTAAGGTCCTTTGAGGCTTCCAGAGAGCCCTCCAGTGCCGCTCTGAGCGTTTCACTGGAATTCTGGCATTGCAAGTGTCCCCTTCAGAGAGTGGTTTCCTGTGGATATATAGTTATCTGTCTCCTTTACTATTTCTCCTTTAAGTTCTGAATTACTAGAAAGCAACAAGAAGAGGGAGGAGCTAGAAAAGCAGCTTAAAGAGGGCAATGAAGAAAAGCAGTTGTTACTGGAAGAAATTGCCCAGCTGAAACAAGAAACGGTGGCTGCGTGGGAGCAGTGTGACAGCATGGATGAAGAAACTTTGAGAAGGAATCAAGGCATGGCCCATAGAGAGAACAAGTTTCTCTTATCTCAGAGTTCTGCAGGCAGTTTAGAAGGGAGCGTGAAACAGGTATGGGCAGCCTCATCTGCAGTTTTTTTCACTAATTTAGTGGCAAAACCTAACTAAAAAGTGGCCTGGAAGCCAGTGCTTGTGATGCTGTAGTGTTAGTGTGCTGAGAGAAATGAGAAGCCGATTGATTTCTCCGGGGAAAGTGTTTGAGCAATGCTTTTGTTTCCTTTTGTCATGTTTTTAAGYGTAGAAACCACTTTCCACTGTGGGAACCTGAGTAAACTGAATGGTTCTGACTCCCTTAGTGCACATGAAAGAAATGAGCTTCGTAGTCACAGAATCACAAAATAGAAGCAACCTGTGGAGATCATCTGATCCTCACATAATAATGTTTTAAATCTTTTGGAACCCTTTCTCAGCTCCTTTTTTGGAGTGTGAGCAAAAAATCTGGGCTTGCTGTTCCCATAATGGTCTCCCTTTGCTCTAGGTGGGAGCAATTCCACTCCCTTGCTCCTGCTTAAGAGTATCTGCTGGCTTGGAGTAGCAGCTCACAGGCAGCTGGGTTTTGCCACAGCCCCATGTCCTTGTCTCACTTACCATTCTGCCTTTACTCTACCAGGTGGCAGGCGAGGTCCACTTTTGATACCACTTCCTATAGCTCTGTTTTCAATTCAAGTTGTTTGTCTGCCTTACCTGGTGATATTTAAAGAAGGGGAAGAGCAGCTAGCCCACCAGAAGAGGAAGAAATCATGGAGTTATGCCATACTGGGATACTGGGAGCAGGAATTATATGCAGGAGTTTGGAAGAGAGGACAGAATGGCCTGCAGACAGGAATGAGACTAGGAAGTGGATCAACACCACACCAATACTAAGTAGCAGCAAATCTGTATGGAAAAGTATCGTGTCTGCCAAAGCAAGATACAAAGTRTAGAGGGAATGCTGAAAGGAATCCTGATGGAAGCACAGGGGAAAATATCCCTGACTGGTCTCTTTGAGACCAATGATACTGTCGCATCCCACAATGTTGTATCCATGGTCCCTGTCCCAGCTGGGTATTTGTTCTGAGAAGAGAAGCTTGCTCTTCAGTGGATGTCATTTGGTCTCGGAAGCAGGTGATGAGGGTGCGAGATGAGGATCGGTGGAGGGCTCCAGGTGATGCTGTGAGGCAGGAGTTTGATGCACYGCACGTGGGAGGAGGATGGGAGCCTGTGCAGAAGGCAGTCCCGGGCAGCCGCGGGGCTCCGACGTGCTGTGGAGGCAGAGCGTAGGTGTGTACAGCCAGAAGGACCTGTGTGCCAGTGACAGCCAGCACTGAAGTCAGCGGCCCCGCCGCCRTGTCCGGGCTGCTGCGGCGTTGTGCCTGTCCCGCTGCTGCCATTTCTTCACTTGGGAAGTGTAGCTGGATGTGCCACCCGTGCTTAGAGCCTYAGCAAGACTGTCCCAAGACTCTGAGTACAGTCAGGAACCAGCTCGGAAATGGGGCTGAGATAAAAGCAACCTGCTCTGTTTTGCTTTTACTTGCCAGGATAGTTTTAACAGGGATTTGTATCCTTATCCAAGTTATTCTGTCTTCATCCTTGACCTCAGCAGTTCTATCAGTTCCTCCAAGGGGATGGACAGGGCGGAGCAGACAGAACTGCTCAAGTGGGAACCAGGAGAAACACTTGCCTGACTGTGCCCCTCTTACTTTCCATTAATCCTACTGCTSTACTTTGGCTGTCCTCATTAATCTCTCTGTCTCTCTTAATTACCAATCTTTACCCTTCGTTGAAGATAATTTTCCCATCACCTTTGTTGTTTCCCCTTTCCTGCAGAGTCTGTCTGAAGAGCGATTCCAGCAACAGGAGGAAAAGATGCAGCAGCTGCGGCAGGATCTRCGTCGTGTCCAGAACCTGTGCAGCTCAGCTGAGAGGGAGCTTAAATAYGAAAGGGAGAAAAACATCGACTTACAGAAACAAAACCTCTTGCTCCAGCAGGAATGCACCAAGGTAGGGATGGAGCAGATAGGGTGTAGCTTGAGGAGAGCATTGCTTCATTTTATGAGCCATAGGAGGTCCAAGGTGTTGATTTCATGGGCTTGGACTCATTTGCACTCTCATCAGCACTGGTGACTTTGAGTCCAGGAATATCTGACTCTCCCCAGTGTTTCCAATTATTTTTTTCAAGGAAAGTGTTGAGCATGTGGTACCTGAGGCTCTCTAGCATGCTCTGGGAGTTGCATGGCCTCCAAATAAAATGTGCTGTGCTGCCCCCCGTATCTCTCTTACTTTATGCTCTTGCCCCACGCCTTATAATCCCATTGCCTTTTCCCTGATCAAGAGATTTTCGATACTATGTGTTAAAATGTGAGCTTGATTTCTTCTCTTTTCAAACACAGGTCAAAGCGGAACTGAAGCAAGCCCGTGCAAAACTCCTGGACACGACTGAAACATGCTCCTCTCTCTCAGCACAATGGGAAAAAAGCCAGCAGAAGGTCAAAGAGCTTGAACGAGAGCTCCTGAAGAGCTCCCAGGCTGACACACTGCAGAGTAGTCTACAAGAGAAACTTTCACAGGAGAAGTCCAAAGTCTCCGAAGCACAAAAAAAGGTAACTTGTCAACATGGAGTAAGTTAAATTTTCAATTACATGTAGCTGAGATGCTTTTTTGCTAATTTGAGTTCTTATAGGACGTGGGCTAGATGCTTTGAGAAGCACAGGGACATAATTAATACAAGAGGTTGCAAATATGAGGTCTCAATTCTTGTATTTAAAATTCAGCGTCTGAGTATGTTGGTAGCTGGGCTGGTTCGGGCAGCCTGGGTCATATTCTCACTGCAAACACTTGGTGTTTGTAGCAACCAGTGAATTACAAAGCCTTGTGTTCTCCGTGGCATTGATTTTGTCGCATACCTGCACCATTCACTGGAGACTTTTGGATCTGAAGTTTCCAGGATCATATTAAATGTATAAAGGATTGTTGCTCATTTRTGCTACTGTATCTGATCTGAAATCTGGCAGTCGCTACGTAGATTATACTTTTAATGGACTTTGATGCAGAGACATGCAGAAATAAGTACTCCTGATCAGAAGGCAGCATATCTTTCTTTCCTGTAATTTCTTTGATTCAAATACTGGTTTATAAATTCAGAAAGCTTAATTAATCACTGCCCCATTTTCATCCAAGATCTCAAAGCTCCAGCAGAAGCTGAAGGAATCACAACACCAGCTCCTTCTGGCAGAGGCCCGTGTTTCAGACAAGAAACTCCTGGAGGAAGAATTGAAAGAGGCTCGAGAAAATGAAGCTCGAGTGCAGCAAGAACTGCAYGAGGAGTGCCTGAAGAGGTATCTAGAGCTAGGCATGGGCGGTGGGATGTGTAGAGAGAAGGTGCATGCCTGCAAATGCCTCTGTGCTAACCTGCCAACGGCCTCCTGTAGCTCTTGGGTGGGCTGAAGGAGTCAGTGTGCCAGTGGTTATGTCCCCTCACCCCTCCTTTTGCCCTTCAAGGGCCATGCTGTGACATGTGCACTGTTGAGCCCAGGGCAGAACCCCACAGGATCCGCTTTTTGTGAGATTTAAATGATCTTTTTTTGGAGACTTCCCCTGGCTCCGCGGGTACGTGGCCCCTCCTGCTGGCATTATGGTTTGGTTTGGTTGTTGTTTACCCTGAAGATGCCAGCAGTGCCCTTCCGTGTGCACCCCGTCATCTGAGGATTGATGTCACCAGGTCCAGCAGGAGGCACTTGACATCACACTGACACCTGGGGACATCCAGTGGGTAGAGATTTCTTCGTGCTGCCAAAGCTGCCTAGTGGGGTCCTAGATGGACCATTGCTCTACCCTGGTGTGTGGCCACCCCCAAGAGAGACAGACTGAGCTTGTCTGGCTGCCTCATCATCTCTGCTAACACACAGCCTTGGCAGGAGCCCCCCTCAGACTCACGGTGGCAGCTCCTGGGGCACCCTCTGTGTCCCAGTTTCTCACCGTCTCGCCACATGCTCTTAGGAAGCTCCTGGAGCAGCAGGTGGAGGAGCTGCGGCAGCAGCTCCGGCACTCGCGTGAGACGGAGGCGTCGCTGGCCAAGATGCGTGTGGAGCTGCAGGCCAAGACTCTGCACGTCCTGGAAGATGAGCGGAAAATGGACTCGAGCGAGGTGAACTGTAGGATGCACTTGAGTGCTTCTTGGCCAAGGGGATGATGTGCTAGAGGCTGACTGTGGAGCACAGTAGTGAGCTCTAAGGAGCAGTTTGCGCTGGGAAATGGGACATTCCAGTCTGAAATCTGTGCCTGGGAATTGGTGGAGTCAAAGCCTACCAGATGTAGAGCCCACTGGTTTAAACAGGAGCTGTGGAAGAGCATGATCCCATCTTTACTAGGTTTCCAGGGAATGTAGTACTGAGAGCAGGGAGAAGGCAGGAAGGGTGAAAAGGGAATGGGGAAGCGTTCACCCCCTTTTCTTGCAGAGCACAGAGCTTTTTGCAGGAGAGTTTCAGCAGTCAGCACCCTGCAAGGATGCATTACCTCTGTCTACCCTGGTGAAGTCTGCACCCCCCAGCAGCACAGAAATTCACAGTCCTCCAATTCCGTGGGGAGCAGACAGTGGCCTTAGTGAGAACGTACCGGAGAGGGGAATAGATGGGTATTGCCTGTAGTGGGGAATACTAGGATTTATGGCAGAGAAGCTTTGGAAGACAGACTGAGAGGAAGTGCAGAGCCCCTACAGATAATACCCAGGCCAATAAAAATGTTATTTTTTTTCAGCATCTCCAGTGTCACAAGGAAAACCAGAAGCTTTCAGAGCAACTTTCACTGCTGAAGGAGGAAAACAAAGCCCTTTATGAGGAAGGAGTCCGTCTCCTGAACCAAAAGGATCTGTATGTGAGGTAATAACTGAAGCAGCAGGAGATCTGGTGGAACAAAAGTTATTCAGGAGTTGCTCTTTTTGTTCCCAGAGGTGATGCTGGATTTGACAATTCCCTGGGCTTTCGTGTCTCACCAGGTCAGGACATCTAGCACTGGGGGATCTGCCTTGACCTGACACCTCTGTGTTCAGTTATGTTCTGTGTCACACGTCTGCTACCACTTGGAATTCTCCATGGCAGCTGATGGTGGTGCAGAGAAGGAGGGGAGGTATCAGGCATATGGGTGCTGTTGTCTGAGATCTGCTCTCAGCAGAGTTGCCTTGTGCAACTGTTTGTTTCTCCCCCATGCTCTTTGGATCTCATTTGAAGCAGGATAGCTTGTAGCTTTTCCTTCTCATGAGTTTCGAACCAACTTGCAAGTATTCCTAATTTTGGTAGAGGCTTCTGCCTCCTGAATGTGACTTTTCCCCTCCGTCGCAGCTCTCCCTGCTGAAGTAGTAAGCATTGAGATGTGCTTGGTTTGCCTTACTGTTCAGCACCCTTCTTAGGACCCCAAATCCCTTTTTGTGCCTGCAACAAAACTTTCATCTGAAGGGATGCACCAGTAGCAAGATGGGGATGGATGAGGGTCTGGGGCATTTGCGGCTGGTTTTTTTGGCTCTCAGATTGAACTGTTCCAGCGTTAGTCCCGAGGCCCTTCCCCACATGTTTTTRTGAGGGTGCTGCTGGCCTTTATAGAAGCCCGTTATTTGTATGTTAACCCAMAGCAGTAAGAAAACACAGGTCAAAGGATTTGTAAACCTGGGAGTCAATTTTGGGTCTGTTTCCCTGAACAAAAAGGCATTTTATGGCCTGATGTTTGTACCTCCTCAGGAAATACAACGAAATGCAGCTCCGACACAAAGACAAGATCCGTCGAGCGAAAGAGACGTTTATCCACGAGGTGAAACAAAGGGACAGTAAAATCAAGCAGCTTGAAAGTGAGCTCAGCGAGTCAAAGCTCCAAGTAGAAAAGGTGAGAGGAGATACAACAGGACTTCTCCCACTAAGGAAGATGGGCAGTTGCCTGTAGCATGTTTGCAGGAAGTTTCCTTCTGGCAAAAATTCATTTTAGTACTTTTAAATTAGTTTTTAAAGGAATTAGCCCTTTTAAATTCCTTTAGGTACAAGGCAGCAGTCTTCAATGTTTAGAGCTGGCTGTATAACAACCACTTTTCCTGAAAAGCTCCTTAAAAAGGTCAGACTTCTGTTGTTGTGACAGTATTTGGACAGGTCTGGAGTCCTAAGGGACTTCCTGGCCCTTGTGAACACTTGTGTCTTCATATCCCATTCAGAAGCTGCCCAAGTTTTCTCACTTCATAAATGTCAGTGCCAGGAGGTGACTCAAAAGTAAAATCCTTTCCACCTTCCAGGACATCCATTGATGTCCAATGCTCTTCTAGGTGCCAGTGTTTTTGGTGGTGACCCTTTAGATAAAGCGCTGTAAAAATCAGAGGCTAGAGCAGAGTGCAGTGTAACTGCTGGTGGTTCTTTCTTTCTGCATTCACACTCAGGGGAAGGTGCTGATTGCACAGATCACTGCAGAGAATGAAAAACTGCTCCAGGAAAGAAGGCGGCTCCTCCAGAAGGTCTCTGACCAGGAGGACACCCCTTGGAGCAACAAGTCTACAATTGCCACCCTCCAGAGCAGGTGGGCACTTATGTCCAGGGCAGATGGGATGCCCTCAGGCCCTGCCTCTTCCCCTACTCTCTCCACTTTTATGCCTCCCTCTGAATGAATCCTTGTTCTGTGAAGGATTTCAAAAGCCCAGTGTAGCTCGACAGGCAGTAACTTGTGCCTCGCTTGTGTGTGATGTGCTCAGGGTGAAGATCCTGGACGAGGAGAGCGTGCGGCTTCACGAGAGCAAGCTGCAGCTCTGCGGCCACGTGCCGGCCTCGCAGCGCGCTCCGAGGAGCATCCCCGCTCCCAGCACCGAGGTGAGACGCAGCGAGCGGCGCCCCTCCTCAGCAGCCACGTTGCAGGAGTTAGTCTCTCCTGTGAGCGAGGCCCTGCTGTTGCTACAGCTTAAGTGCCAGAGAAGACAYGAGCAGTTACACATGAAACACTGAACTGTTCAGAGCTGGGCAGAAGCAGCTGTTTGGTGTGATTTTTTTTTTTCTTTTCCTGTTTATTTTCCTGTTTGTTTGCTTTGGGCTCATTTTTCAGTTCCGATTCAGGCCCAAAGGACAAATTTGTTATTAATAGCTTTACGGACCATGGGCACACTTTGAAGCTCAAAGATTGTATATGGAAATTCAGGGTGTGACMTGCACCTGCTCCTTTGAAAGTGTCTCTTTCTTGTTGCAGGACTTGAAGAGTGTTAACTTCCCTGAACGCCAACTACAGAGTAAGATGTTGCCATCTCCCTGTAACAGGTACTGTGGGGTAAAAGGAGAAGACGGGGAGTTCCTGTCTGCTTGTGGCAAGGGTAATGCAGGACATCTCCTCTGTCAAAGTATCCTGCTCTGCCCTTTTTCACCTCCACGGGTCTTTATTATTCATGAAGTTACAGGAAAAACAGTACTAAACAGATGCTGTGAAAGCAAGCGGGGTGGTCAGAAAGTCCCCTGAGTGGTGGTGCTAGGGAGTCTCTGAGTGCTCTGTGAAGCTCCACTGCAGCCAGCAGATGCAGTGAACGGCTCAAAACTGGCACGAGGGAGGCGAGCCCAGCGGGACAAGGCAGAGACTCTGCAGCTCTGTCCTCTGCTTGGGCCACTGTCTCAAGTCAGAGTGAGTTGGGGGTCATGGGGGCAGCCAGCTGCTTACCCCGAGGAAGCGCCTGAGCTTCAGCTCAAGCGCCCCGTGTTCGCCGCGGCCCCGCGCTGCCCCGCTGAGGTGCGAGGAGGAGGAGGCTGCACAAGTGGCGCACAGGAATGCGGTTTGCAAAGCRGCTTAAGCGAGGATATTTTTTTCCAGCTTCCCGCCCCAAGAACTGCCAGACTCTCTCAGCACCCTGAGGGCCACGCAAGACACCAAGCCTGAAGGAGGAGCTGAAAGCCAGGAGTCCTCCTTTTGCTTCTCTCCTTCTCAGCCCTCTGAGATCGGGTACTTAAACCTAACTTCGCCCGGAGACACCACAGTCTCCCAGCTGCAGGAGGAGARCCAGAGCTTCAGCTCTGAGAACTTGTAAATGCAGGAGACCCTTGTCAAACACGTCCTAGCTGGACTGCAAGCCTGGGCTTCGGTTGCCTCGGGCTGCCAAGGACTGCAGGGGAGAGAATTGCCAAATGTTCGGTGATTTCTGTGATATTTTTCAACTAAATTCTTCAATGGCTATTTTTAACTTTACCCTGCTGTAAGTATGTGTGTGTGGTTGATTGTGGTTGAAAGTCGGATGAGAAAGAGAAGAGGAGAGGGATGAAGTACTTTTGCCACTGAATCCTCCCTCCATATGCAGTSTAAAGACCCATCTTTGTAAATAAAACTTGTACAAGTTCCTCTTTGATTTGTGTCATCCCCTTGCATCTGCACTCCGAGGCTTGTTCTTCCCTTCTTGCTGTCCTCTTCTGCTCTTCGATTGGTCTTACGTTAAACCCTAATTTCTCTATACTAGAACATTAAATAGTACTCCGTGGTGAGGAATTCTTCGTTCCTTCTTTCCTTCCTCTGTGGTGAGGAGTTCTTCCTTCCTTCCTCCGTGGTGAGGAAGGGGACTCATCCCTTCCATCCCAGCATCTCCCGAGGCTGCAATCCACCACCCGTACCCCCCGTGCCCCAAATAACCACAGGGACAAGCGAGGCCGTGAGAGGCATTTTTCTTTTATTGCAGCTTGCAGGGGCCCGGGCCCGCCGCCTCCTCAGTTGGCGCTGATTTTCTGCAGATGGCAAAGCAGGAGGAGCGCGGTGAGAGGCAGCCGCGAGCCCGGCCRCGGCGCCCGCCCGCCCCGCGCACCCACCTCGTTGATCCAGTCGATGTAGGCAGAGACGCGCGTGAAGACGGTGGGTTTGTGCAGCGTGTTGCAGCCCCACGAGGAGCCGAAGCTGACGATGCCGTCCACCTCCCAGAGCCCGTCGCGCTGGCAGTTCAAGGGGCCGCCCGAGTCCCCCTGCCCGCCACAGCAACGGCTTGAACCAGCTCTCCCCGAGTGCCTGTTCCCYGCCGTGCTCCCAAACCAGCGCCCGCCTCCGTGCCCAGGGCTGACTCACGTTGCATCCCGAGACGATGCCRTCGCCCCCGGCGCACAGCATGTTGCTCGTCACCGTGCTGCCCCACCAGCTGCTCTGCGTGCACGTGGCCTCGTCCACCACGGGCAGCAGCGCCTGCTGCAGCACGTCAGCCAGCGGCCCGTTGGCTGCAGTGGAAACACCGGGGCTGGCACCGCTGCAGACCTCCCGCCGCTCCAGCAGGGCCAGGTGCATCCAGGGCCCTTCCCTGGGCTGGGAACCTTCCCCAAAGATCCCCAAGGAGCCACCCCAGGCCACCCGCAGCCCCGGGGGCWCCTCCCCACCGCAGAGCCGCCCTGGCTCTGAGGGTCGCAGGGTGAACGGCACTGGCCGGGCCCCCCGTCCCTCTTACTGCGGATGCGTCCCCATCCGGTGACGTAGCAGGGGTAGTCCTGGGGCAGCAGGAGCCCGGCGGGCGGCAGGCAYGCCGCCTGGACGGTCTCGCTCTGCTGCACCGGCTCCGCCAGCTTCACCAGGGCGATGTCGTTGCTGCAAGAGGCAGGCGCCRTGCAGGAGGGACCGGCCGCGGCCGTGGTGGGGCCGCCACAATCCCCTCACCCCTGCCCTGGCCTTACATGATGCGGAGGGAGTTCCACTTCTCGTGCACGATGATCTTCTCGACGGCGGCGGTCACGGTGCCCGCCTCCTCCTYGGCAAGGTTCTGCTTGCCCAGAACCACGCGGTAGGTGCGGCTGGAGCTGCGGGCGGGCAGGCAGCGCCGTGAGCGCTCCCGCCGTGGCGGCGGCCCCGTCCCCGTCCCCCCCGCCTCACTCACCTAATGCAGTGGGCGGCCGTGAGTACCCAGCGGTCGCTGATGAGGGTGCCGCCGCACGTGTGGCTCCAGCTGCCCAGGAAGCGGTACTGCAGCGAGGCCTGCGCCCGCGCGGCGCCGCGTCAGCGCCCGCCGGCCGCCACGGCCCCGCGCGGCGCCCCGCGCGCCCCGCTCCTACCTGCCAGGGCCAGCTGTGGGGGCGCGCGTCCTCGCCGCCCACCACGCGCCCGCTCAGCGGCGACACGGCCGGCCGGCCGCAGCCCGAGGCTGTGGGGTGGGAGAGGGAAGGCGCCTTAATGGCGGCAGCAGCGCCAGGGGGAAGGCGCCTTAGCGAGGGCAGCACAAGCAGGAAGGAGCCTTAGCGAGGGTGTCTGAGGGAGAAGGTGCCTTAGTGAGGGTGTCGTGGAGAAGGCTCCTTAGCGAGGGTGTCT